GACAAAAAACAGCATCCAGGTCACATTCGCGCGTCGACCCCGCGCGCATGTCGAACTCCTTCCCAGACTTTCGTCACCGACGCGAGGACGCTGTCATCGTCGTCGGCGTGATGAGCATCGGCGGCGTCAGTGGCTGTGCCGTCGTCGTTGTCGTTGTCAACATCGCCACCGGCATCGTTACTATTACCATCGTGTTTACTGTTGTCGACGTTGCCATGGTGCCGCGCCCGCCCAAGTCGCCGACTCGCACTGAAGTGCCCGCTGGGATGGGCCCAGCGGTCAGCGCCCCCGCGGCCACGTCGGTCGCGCCAAACTATCTGGCCGCTGCGCGCGTGTCCTTGGGTTGGCGCGGCCGCAGAGATGCACCAGCCAACGCGAAGCCAAGCATTCATCGCAATCGCCGCCGCATGGGTTTGCAAACCAAGTTGCGGGTGGGTGGGTGGGTGGGATGTTTGCAACAGCATGAAATGTGCCAGCTCGTTTGTTAGCGCCAACTACACCACAGAGCTTGCACCACATCGATTCCACGTTCTCGGTGCAACAACTTTTATGTTTGGGGAGGATCTGAACATATACACACATACATCTATATATATATATACAGAGCAGCCAGCGCGGACCCCAAACAGTGAATGATGATACGGAGGAAGCGAAGGATATGTTTTGCAACCCATGTGGTGGGGGCTTTGCTTTGCATCTTTCCGGTGTGACCCTCTGTGGCGGCATCAAATCGGTGTAAGCCGCAGGGGGGGACCTTCAAACCAGAAGCGGTCGTCCCAAGTAAACAAAACAACATGCGTAAGCCTACCTATCTAGAACACGCAACAAGGGTCTTCCCCCCAGCATTGTCGGTCAACACCAATTTTTTCCGAATGGCCAACATCGACCCTTGCCGGAAACCGTCTGGCCTGGGGTGGGCGATTAGCACATGGGACGGGCAGCTGATCTGGGCGCATTCCCCGAACGCGCGGGGGTTCGCGACGAGGTGGGTGACCAAAAACAGAAAGCTGCTACCAAATACTCACGACGCATTCTGCGCGAGTGTACACGGGTCCAGCAGAACTGCGGGCGGAGGCGGGCCCCAACGGCTCCCCGATATCGCTTCCACGGCAGAGGCGGGGTGGATTGAACAAATGCCCACCCCCTCTGGTTCACCGTTCACCTCACCGAAAGAACATCTGCGAGGGACAGTCGTAGTCGACGACGGCGAAGACGAAATGACGACAACGACGACGCGCGCCGCTGCGGATGCCCCGTTTGTGGGGCGGGGGCTGCGAAAGTCCGCTGTAGCCGTCGACGGTGACGACGAACGGCGACGACGACGACGACGACGACGATGGACGACGCGGGCGACGACGACGACGACCTGTGCTGTGGATGCCCCATGGGATTTGGGCGGGGGGGCTGCGTGGGCCCGCCGTCGTCGACGACGATGACGACAACGGGCGACGACGACACGACGACGTGTGCTGTGGGTGCCCCATGAGATTGGTTGGGGCTGCGGGCCTGCCGCTGGTCGGCTGCAAATGACACACATCGGCTCCAACATGGCCCGCGGACCCCTCTCGGGGTCCGCCCTGGCTAGCTGCCCGAACAACGTCCAGCCGTGGCCACGAGGCCCCCCACCCCCAGCAGGCACGAAAGCATCAAAGACGGCGGAGACGACGACAACATCGGACGACGCGGACGGCAACGACACGACGATCTTTGCTCAGGATGCACCGTGGGATGGGGGCGGCTGCCTAGGCCCGCCGTTGTTGACGACAACGACGACAACGCATGAGAGTGGCAGCGCATCCTTCCGATCGCCCCCATTTCCAGGGTGCACAGGTCAAGGAAGCACCCCCTCGTCCGAAAACTGGGCGGTGACAACCAATGTGTTGCACTTGCGCCCTGGCCTTCGACGTGAGACGACACATAGTCACGCAACGCATTTTCATTTTGACGCCCTCACATCACAACGTGTCGCACAGACCGCCCCCCACGGGAGGGCCGCCTGAAACAACGGGTGGGGAAAACAACGCGTGTCACTTGCAACCTGGGCCTCAACGTGGGGGTGGGCCACCCGAAAAATGGGCAGTGAAAACCAACTGTGTCGCTTGAACCCTGGGCCTCAACACGTCTTCTGTATAATACCTTCTTACGCCAGGATATCACAAACGGATCACCCACCCACACGGTGTTGAGAGGCTTGTGTGTGACTTGCGTTCTGGGCCTCAATTTGAGGCGGCATACTGCCACGCAAAACGTCTTCTGTACAACGCTCTGAGGTCACAGGGTCTCACGCGCAGCCCACGACCGGATGGGTAACCCGAGAGCTGGGTAGTGAAGTCAGCTGTGTCACTTGCACCTTGTGCCTCAAAATTGGGTGACACATTGCCACGCGCAGCTTGTTCTGCCTAGCGTCCAACGTCAAAAAGTCGCACAGGTGACCCACCCACGAGTGGGTCACTCGAATATTGATATGTGAAAAGCGGGTGTGGCACTTGAATCGTGGGGCTCAATGTGAGACAACACACTCCCACGTAACACGTGTTCCTGCATAGCGCCCCAACGTCAAATGATCTCACAAATGTCCCACCCACGGGTGGCCCACCTGACAACAAGGTGGTGAACAACCAACCGATTAATTTGGGATTTTGGTCGCAGCATGCGGCGACACACTGCTTCGCAACAAGTCTCCTGTTTATCGTTTTCACATAACTGGGCCTCACAAGTGACCGACCCACGGGCGGATCACCCGAAACATTGGGTGGCGTATAAGCTACGGTTTCACTGGCACCATGGGCTCAGGCTGAGACACTACACTGCCGCGCAACACCTCTTCAGTATAGCGCTCTCACATCACAAGGTTATTTTCGGCTCTCTGACGGCCCGAGACAGCTCAAAACTGCAACAGCACAAAAAAACCGGCCCTGGAATCGCCAGAGCGATTATGGAGACGATCTGCTTGCTGGTTATCCTGAAGCAACAGTTGGCTGAAGAATTGGTTGGTGTTGTGATCTTGGTTGGTGCCGCTTTGTTGATTGGTGTCGTTTCTTGGTCGGCGTCGTTCTCACATCGGCGTCAACTTGGTATGGGTAGCGCTTTGATAGCGAATCCCGTATTGCTGATCGGCTTTCTGGTAGATTTCTTTTTTTTGCTTGGTGCTGGCACCAGCGTGCCGGCCGCGGCGGCGGCTGGCAGCGCCGAAGGCGGCGGCGCCGCGGCGGCGATGACCAGGACGAAGACGACGACGACGACAAAATCCCTTGTAGTCCTTTTCCTCGGCCCTGAGTGTCGGAAAATAGATGGGCCCAGATCTGAAACATACAATTTCTTTACGTTTCGACGCGTGCTTCCCGCGGTCTCCGTCGCCGTCGCCGTCGCCGTCGCCGTCGCCGTCGTCGCTAGCGTCGCCGTCGTAGTCGTCGTCGACGTTGTCGTCGTCGCCGTCATCGTCGTGGTCTGGCGGCTATGTGGTCGCCGTCGCCGGGCCAGGCCGTCGCCGTCTGGGCCTGCGGTACTGTGCATTGCATTGCGTTGCTTTGCATTTTGCTGTTTGGCATGGCTTTCTTTGCGTTGCCTTGCTCTGCTGCGCATTGAATTGCATTGCTTTGCGTTGCTCTACCCTGCTTTGCATTGCTGCGCGTTACATTCCATTGCTATACATTGCTCTGCGTTGCGTTGCGTTGCATTGCGTTGCTCTGCATTGCGTTGCATTGATGCGCATTGCGTTGCATCGTGGCATTGCAATCAGGCTGCTTTACAAACGCATTGCTTTGCACTGCTTTGCATCGACTTGTACTGCTTTGCATTGGTATGATATGATTTGCATTGATCTGTCGTGCTTTGCATGACTCTGCCTTGCTTTCCAAAGCTTTGCAGTGTGTTGCGTTGCGTTGCGCTGCTGTGCATTATATTGCGTTGAGTTGCATTGCTGCGCATGGTTTGGCTTTGTGTTTCACGAGCTTGCATGCGTCACATGGATTGCACCACCTGGATTGCACCAGTTTGGTTGCGCCACCTAGACTGTACCGCATTCATGGAAGAAGTCGCTGGCTAAGATGTGTTGTGATGTTTTACTACGTCATACCCTGTTCTGTCATAACATGTGGATTCTGATGTGTGAGTCCGTTTTTGCTGTGTTCTTGATGTCGATGTTTCATGCCTCTTTGCTCATGCGTTGTGACGCCTGGACGGGGGGACGCCGTGACGCCTCCCCCTCGGGGCTGTCTCGTATGCAGGGTGTTCGTCATTCGTCGAGGACGCGAGGCGGGACACTCCGGGTTTCCAATCCTGTGGGGTTTGGCGACCGCGGTATGGTGTCGTCATTCGTCAAGGACGCGAGGCGGGACATTCAGGGACTCCAGGGTTTCCATAGGGCCTGGCGACCGCGGTATGCAGGGTGGGCAGACGGAAGGTCCTTGCTTGAAACATATCAGCCCCAGCCTGTAGGGTGGGGAACAACTAGCGGCTCACAAAAGTGGAGAGGATCAGCAGAGTGCAGGCACGCATGTTTGTCCCCTGCACCTGCGCGCGGGTTCCCGACCCGTCTCCAACAAGGATGAAGACGGAGGAGGAGAATTGAGCAGGGACCGATCCACCCGTCATTCCTCCAGGCCTACCATGACATATTCTTAAGGCCAGTGGATGCCCTCAACATAAAAACGATATATTCTTAAAGCGTAAGGCCAACGTGATGAAACAAGACGGCCTCAGCCAGAAAGGTCTTGAGGATATTTCGTGCGAGCCGCTCGCCACTGCTTGAGAGAGGAGGAAGGATTGCAACGAAGGATTGCAAAAAAAACAAAGGATTGCAACAAAAAACCCTAGGATTGCAAACAAACCTCGTTTTTTGCAATCCTTCGGTATTTTTTTGCAATCCTTCGGTTTTTTTGCAATCCTTCGGTTTTTTTGCAATCCTTCGGACAGAGCAGAAAACGACAAAGACGGCGACGATGGCGACGGCGGTGGCGACGACGACAGCCGGCTCGGGCGGCGGGGCGGGCGAGGGCAGCCCGAGGGCTGCTTCCCTGTACTCGGTGAGCTCCGTGAGGAGCTGCCTGGTCCCCGAGGGCCGGGAATCCACGGGCACGAGGAGGGATCGAGGATCGGGGATCGCGGAGTTTGCTTTTTTTTTCTCGCTTGCCTTTCTTGGGGCCTCCAGAAGCCCCCGGAGACCTCCGGGTTGTTTTCGAAGAGAGGGACGGGGCGAGGTGAGGAGGAGGTCCCTCGACCGCCTCCTCTTCCTCCTCCTCATTCCGTCTCCTCCACGTCTTCACAACTCTCCCTCCTTCTCACACCTCCTCCCTCCTCCTCCCTCCTCATCCTCCTCTTCACCCCTTCTCCTGTTTCCCACCCCCACTTCGCTCATTCGTCACCCTTGCCTCGCGCGCGTCGCGGGAGGGAGAAGGGGGGAGGCCGAGGAGGGGGATGAGGAAGGAGGAAGGAGGGAAGGAGAGTCAAAGGGTAGGAAGAAGAGAGAGGAGGGAAAGCATGTCGAGAACGATGATCAACATCGGTCGGGAAGTGGAAAGGGGCACGAGGGTATAACACCACCCGGACTGCAGACCTGGGCATCGTACCCTGCTTGGGGTGGAGGGGCGGCATGGAGCAGGGCGCAGTAGCCCGCTCCCCCCAAACACCGGTTCGGCCCGAAGCCGCGCGATTTCGCGGCCACGGGTGCTGCGCGTCCGCAGCCGCGCGCAGAAGCGGACAGCGGGCGGCAGCTTGACCAGACGTGCCAGCGAAAGGACTTGTTTTTGGGGGTTCAAAGAATCAAAGATAAAACGACGTGCGAACATCCCTCTGAAAGGCACGCGTCACGGCAGCAACAGAGACGTCGGACGGGGAAAACTAGCCAGACACTCCCTTGAGCTTGGCGAGACTACGGAGCGTTCCAGCCTGCTACACTCTTCTGCCGTGCACACTCCCCGACAATATCTCTAGCCCATAGACCACCCATTGGGCGATACGGAGGTTGGGGGACGATATTGTCTTTGTTCTGCAGTGGACGCACACAGCTTGATTCAGGAGCGGGCAGACATCAGGACATCAAGATCGATGCTCATATATCCAGGTATGTGTCGTCTGTAGGTCTATATCTCGAAATGTCTCCACCAACAATGCTCTGTGATCAATATAAACCGACCTGTCGATCCTACGATCTGTCGGGCCATCATCGGGCCAAAGACCAAGAACACCAACGGGACAACCATCGGGACCATCATTCGATAACTCCATCTGTGATCGGCTTCACTATCGGTCTTCATTGCCACCTACTGGTCCCATAATAAGTCTATGTCGATCTCACTATCGATTAGCCGGGACAACCATGAGGACAACCGTCGGGACAACTACCAGGACAACCATCGGGACAATCATCGGGACAACCAACGGGGCAACCATGGGAACAATCATCGGGATAAAAGTGGCCACAACCATCGGGACAAACGCCAGGACAACCATCAGGACACCCGCAGGAACAACAATCGGAACACACATCGACATCGAGACAAAAATCGGGGCATCCATCTGGACAACATTCGAGACAACCATCCGGAGGACCATCGGCACAACCACTGGGACAACCCTCAAAACAACCATCGGGACAACCATCGGGACAACCATCGGTCGGGACAAACATCGGGACACCCATCAGTGCAACCACCGGCACGACCCGGGCAGCGGCCAGCGGGGGGGAAATCCACTTTTGTACAACTTGGCCCTGGCCGGCTGAGGCACTCGCGAAACTTCGCCCTGGCATCGCCGGCACGCGCGTCACGTGCGGAACACAGCGATTTACCGGTTGGCGCTGAACTTCGGCTTCGTCCCCAACCTCCGAACTTTCTTCTCGCTCTCGTTCTTTCTGTCTCGCTCTCTTCCTCTTCCTCTCTTTCTCTCTTGTTCTACATATACATACCTACATACATACATGCATACATACATGCATACATACACATATATACATACATACATACATACATACATACATACATACATACATACATGCATGCATGCATGCATGCATGCATGCATACATACATACATACATATAGTTCTATACATATATGTAGATAGATAACTAGATACACATATATGCACACACGTGCAGAAGTGCGCTCGCGCGAGCCATCGACCCAACCGAAACCTCGAAAGCCATGTCCCCCTTACGAACGGGCCCACGGAGATCTAACCGAGGCACCAGCACCGCCACTTCCCGCGGCTCACATCGCGCGCGGGCCCGCCGGGCGTGGCCCACGGTCCCCCCGAGGGCCCCTGAGAACTCCTCCCACGTGGATCCTTTTTTGCTCCTCCTCAGACGTGCGGAAGAAGAGTGCAGTGGAGGTCAGTCCACAAGGAACCTTCCGTGAGAAACCCAACCCTGAGAACCCAGGAGGTCCATTGAGTTTTGGTGTGGAAACGTCGCGCTAACCATGGCAAAACCATCGAATCCAGAGAAACCCAGGGCACCCTGGAGGCAAGCAGGGTGTTTCTTGGCATGGGTCTCCACTGTACTACCACGGCAGGGCGACGATGAATTTGGACGGGGGCGAACTCGGCAATCTCTTAGACCCACCGGGTCTGTAGGACACCTCCCCTCGACCCTCCTTGGCTCTCGTGGCTACGTTTCGCACAGGCGCCCGAAGGTTCACACGCGCAAAGAGGCACTTCTCGAGCCGCTCCTATGCAGGCCTATCTGGCTGTCGGAAGAAGCGGGCAGACACATGAAGTAGGACGGCGGATAAAATAGATTGGGCTTAGGCCCTCCGAGATAATAACACAACGCAGCAAAAACATACCGATCCTTGAAGTAGGAAGGCCATTGAAGTAGATTGGGATCTGGAAATCCGGATATACCCGACCGGCGTGTAGAGTTTGAAAGAGAAGCAGCCTCCGCTGCGAGCGCTCGTCCCCCCCCCCCCTGGTGCCCTTCGCGGTGGTAGAGCCCCGCTCCTGCCGCCTCGGCCGCCGCCCGATTCTCCCTCCACGAGGACATCCGATCCCCCCCCTTTAGAGGCAAGAGGGGCCAAGAGGAGCCTGCCCCTCCTCGTCCTCCCCCTCCTCCTCGTCGTCGTCGTCGTCCTCCTCCTCCTCCTCTTCCTCCTCTCGGCGGCGAGCGAGGGGGGGAAGTGAGAAGGAGAAGGATGACGCCTTCGCAGAAGGGCGGAGGGCTTCTGAGAAGGTTCTCTGTGTCTTCGACACAAGCTCAGAAAACTCCTCAGAAGGCCGGGGGACTTCCGAGACTTCCGAGAGGGCCCGCCCTTCCTGCTTCCCCCCAGGGCTCGCCGCCGTTTCCTCGCCTGAGTAAGACGTTGGGGCCAGTAGTACCTCTGGCAGAGGTGGGCGGAAACATCCCCACGGAGAGGGGGTGGGAGGGGCAGCGGTTGCGCGGAAGAGGGGGGGCAGGAAGAGGAGGTCTGGTGCATCGTGAAGGCCTCGCTCCCTGCCTATCCCCCTCCTGCTCACCACATCTCTGGGTGCGCCGAAGGGACAAGCCAGGAAGAGGGGGGCTGGCCCAACATGAAGACCTCGCTTCCTCCCTGTCCTCCTCCTGCTCCTCACGTCCCTGGGCGTGCCGAAGCAACAGGCCACGAAGAGGGGGGATGGCGCATCATGAAGACCTCGCTCCTTTCCTTCCTTCGGCGGCGAGCGAGGGGGGGAAGCGAGGAGGGGCGAGCCTTCTCAGAAGGCTCGGAAGATCCCCGGCCTTCTGAAACATGTTCTAAGGCTTCCCCGAAACACACAACAAACTTCTCAGAAGGCCAGAGGGCTGCTGAGAAGCCCCGCCGCCTGCTGAGACGGCCTCCTCCTTCTCACGTCCCCCCCTCGCTCGCCGCCGATTCCTGTTTTCCTTCTGCCCCTGCCGTCTCCAGGTGCGCCGAAAGAGGGGGGAGGCCAGGAGGGAGGGGGAATCGCGCATCGTGGCCCGAGGCACGCGTGCGGACGAGAGAGGGGGGAGACGCGTCGAAAGAAGAAGGAGAAGAAGGATAATAATAATAACCATAATAATAATATTATTATTAATAATAATAATAATCATCATAATCATAATAATAATCATAATAAACATAATAATAAGAATCCGCCGGCCCCCTTGTTGGGCCACCAGGCTGTAGGGCGAAGGTTCGCAGTTTCCTGTACCAGTTGCAGCTTCCAGTTTCCACTGTCACAGTTCTGCTTCTTGCTGCTTCCTGTTCCTTGTTGATGGACCGCGCGAGGGGGGGAAGGCCCAAACAGGCAGGATTAGCACGCCCTGAGCGTGTGCTCTGAATTGCTGGGGTGGGTAAACATTTACAACCCTCAACGCAGATCGACGGGGTCAGGGTCCAAAAACACAGGGGATGTGCCACATTTCTGAAATTTGATGGCACCCCTCACGCAGATCGGCGGGGTCAGGGTCCACAAACACATGGGATTTACAACATTTCTCAAATTGGCTGGCACCCTTCTCGCAGATCGGCGGGGTCAGGGTTCAACAAAACACAAGGGATTTGCCACATTTCGAACATTTGGTGGCACCCCTCGCGCAGATCGGCGGGGTCAGGGTGCAAAAACACATGGGATTTGCTTCATTTCTAACATTCGGTGGCACCCCTCACGCAGGTCGGCGGGGTCAGGGTCCAAAAGCACATAGGATTTTCAACATTTCTGAAATTCGGTGGCACCCCTCACGGATATCGGCGGGGTCAGGGTTAAAAAACATATGGGATCGATGACACCCCTCACGCAGATCGGCGGGGTCTGGGTCCGAAAACCCATGGGATTCTCAAAATTTCTAAAATTCGGTGGCACCCCTCACGCGGATCGACAGGGTCAGGGTCCAAGGACACATGGGATTTACAACATTTTTGAAATTCGGCGGCACCCCTCACGCAGATTCGTAGGGTCAGGGTCCAAAAACACATTGGATTTGCTACATTTCTGAAATTCGGTGGCACCCTTCACGCAGATCCGTAGGGTCAGGGTCGAAAATCAAACAGGTCCCGACACTGCTTCACGGCGGCGCCCAGGCCTCATGATTTAGCTGTTGCATCTCCCATTATCCGAGACAGGAGGCTGGCGGCACGGGGCAAAGCCCTTACGCATAATAATAAGAATAATAATAAGAAGAAGAAGAAGGCTCCTCTCTGACCGAGCCAGCGCAGGGTGCTGGGGGCTGCCCACGCCGCCTGGTGGACTCGTGGCAGCGCCTGCGCCGGACGAGGAGGAGGAGGAGGCGTGAGGCCGATGCCGACGTGCTGAGTGGCACGCCAGCGGCTGTCGCGGCGGCGGGCGGATAAGTGAACACTGCGTGTTGACTCAGGCCTGGGAAGAAGCACGAGAAAAAAGAAGTGGACGAAGAAATGGGGGGGGAAATCAGGGAGACCCCATGCCCCGGGCCGCAGTATCAACGCGCTCATACAGTCTCCCTCCTCTTCGACGCCCACGGTGCGTGTGCCGCCCTTTGCCCCTCGAACCCCCCCCCGGTCCGGAACTCTTGCGTGTCCACCAGCGGCTGCGACTTGTCCGTCCACTCGCCCTTGGCGAGCGCCTGCCGCCGCCAGGGGTCCCATCGGAGCGGAGGGAGACATGAAAGACAAGGTGGGGAAGGAGGACGAGGGGAAGGAGGGCGAGGAGGAGGAGGAGGACGAGGACGATTACGAGGAGGACGATGAGGGAGAGGAGGAAGCGGAGGAGGAGAAGGAGGAGCACTATCCAGCCTACATGGACCTCCCGGCACGCGGGGCCTGCGGCCGAGCCTCTCACCCCGGAACCGAAGATGTCGTGAGCAGCGCAGTACTGAAAAGCCAACAACACAATACCAACAGTGATCGACTACTTCTGCCTGTCGCTCAAAATTGACTACCTACCAGACCACCCAAACCCAACCCGAAGACCCGAATTTCGGGTTGGGGGGGTAAGGGTTCCACACGTGTTTTTTCCATGTTTCCCGACCCCCCACTAGAAATCGAGGGTAAATCTGAGCCTTCGGGTTGGGTTGGGGTGGTTTGGTGGGTGGTGAAAAATGATAGCATCCATCTTCATGCCCCAGCTGACTGTGGCGTCGGCCAGGCCTTTGTGTTCCTTCCGCCTCTGGGCCAGAACATTGCTGGCCTGCGGCGGGTCTCTGGGCCCCTGGCAGGGCCGACCCGCCGCGAGGCGAGGGTCGGCGCAGAGCCAGGCGCAGTACCTCAAATCGCCCGCCTGCTGGCCGCAGTACGGGCAACTTGGATAGTCTCCTTCTGCTGACAGCAAGATGTGCCGGTGAGACCACCGCCCCGGTGAAGAGCCTGGCCGCGAGTGGCGTCGCACGAGCGTGTGCATGGCATGCCTCGAGTCGTCTAGCGTCGTAAGCGATGCCAGAGCACAGCTCAGAATCTATGCATCCCTTTTTCTTGAAGAGGTCGACATGCGTTTCCCGCCACCGCTCGCGCAGGACGTGAGCGAGCCGCTTTGCGCCGTCAGGTCGCGGCGACGGCAACGCCGTCGGGAATAGCGGGCTCGGAGACCGCGATCGGTTTCGCAAGGTCGCCGATGAAGGACTGTGGAAGCGCATCCTCGAAACCGTCAGCGAGCAAACGCAGATCGCGCCCGAGAAAAAAGACTGAGCGAGGCACCCATTCGAGTCTGGAGCCAGACCCGTACAAGACGGTTGGCCAGTGGTGCTCGGAAGTCGGCCTTCTGCTGATGATCCGCATGGCCGCGCTCGGAAGCTTGCCGACGATTCCGGTGATGATGTCTAGGATGATCGTCCATCGTCGCGCGGGGCTGCCTCAAATGCCAAGGGGTCAAAGAAGATGCGTTGTATTGCCCCCATCCCCGAAGGCTCAACCCAGCGCGTCGCATCGCGTGAGCAGCATGCCGTCGCAAGCCAGGCCGAGTCCGAGATAGAACATCGCGGGCAGGACGCCCGCGCCGCCAGGCAGGGCGCCCGTGGGAAGCAGACGCACAAGCGCCCCGCGAGAATGGCGCTCCTCGCGATCAACTCAATGGGCAAATTGTTCGCCTCTCATGGCGCCTGGCGGTCTCCCCGTGGGGCTGGACGCTCGGCTTGAGGAGTTTTGGGTCCTACTCCCGCGAGGCTCCGTGTGTGTTCTGGTGGGCTTTCCGTGGAGCTCGTTGCTCTTCCACGGGAGCCTGGTGTCCTCTCCAATGATGCTCTTCCAGGGGGGGGGGGGGGGCTCGTGACTGCTCCCGTGAAGCGTGGCGCCCTCCGCGTGGGCCACGGCGCTCTGCTCGTGGAGCGTGGCGTGCCCTCCCCGCAACGTCGGGAGCGGCCAAGAGGGGGTGTCCAAGAGGGGGGGGTGCAAATCATGACCCCCTAGTCATCACCCCCCTCTTTTCCGCCCCCGACAACGCGTGGCGCATCCCAGGAGGAGCGCGGAGAGCGCTCCGAGGGCCGCCGGCACGCCGACTCCGCGGGGGGCGCGCGGGAGGCCCCGGGGGGCTCGTCGGGCGGGGGCGCGGAGGCGCAGAGGCCCGCAGCGCAGGGCCCCCGCGCCTCGGAGGAGCCGCGCGCTGCCGCGGGGGCCGGGGACACCGACGCCCGGGATGCTGTCGCCGGAGGATGCCTGCCAGCAGCGCGGCCTGGGGCACAACGTGAGGAGCTCAGCGCAGGGTCTGTGTGAAGAGGAACTGGGACACACAAACAAATACACACAAATAAACATTGTCCCCATATTTTCTCATATTTTCTGGGTTTCCGTCTTCCCCCACACTTCCCATATTTTCCCCTATTTTCCTGGGAATCGACGATTATTTGTGTCTGTGTGTTTTTTCCTCTCCTGACTGTGGAGCATGGTGTTCAGATCGCAGGGCATGTTGGCACGTTGCTCGTCCTGCGAAGTGTGGTGCTCGTCTCGTGGACCTGTGGTGCTCTTCCTGTGGGCATTGGTGTTCGCTGGGTGGAGCTTGGTGTGCATCATTTGGGGCTGGTTGTTTCAGCTTGCATTTTTTCGAGAGGTGGATTGTGTTCTTCGTGTTAAGGTTGGAGCTCTACCCATGGAGCTAAGTGTTCCCCGCGCAGAGCAACAATAACGTATTAGGGATTGAAAGTCGTCCTATTGAGCTTGGTGTTATTCCTGCTGGATGTTGTGCTCTTCATGCGGAATGCTGTGTTCCTCCCGTGGAACTTGGAGTTCTGCTCGTGGAGCTTGATTGTCGTTCCCGTGCGGCTTTGCGCGCTCCCAGTGAAGCGTGGTGTGCAACTCTCGGAGCTTGGTGTTCTTCGTGTGGGGCGAGGGGTACGAGACGTGGCGCGCCACCACCGTCGATGACGACACACGATGTAGGAGGTCGCCGAGGGCATCAGTACACTCGAGCCCCTCGGAAAACCACACCTCCGTCTCGAAGTCGAGGTCGTGCCAAACGCTTGCGTTATCGTTCGCGACAAGCGGCGATACTGAAGAATCCGGGGGCACACCATGCAGAAAAGGAAGAAACGCCATATGATATATGAAGGCCCGCAACTCGCAGATACCCGCCACCCAGACAGGGCAAACCGCCTGCGAGTCTGAGATCGTGCTGACCAGAGCCTACACCGACTCGCGCAAGGCAACGACGTTTGCCGATGAACCACTGCGATGGGAACATACACCGTTTATTGACGAGCACCCCACACTAAGCATGTCCGAACAGACCGTCCCACGCGGAGGCGGCAACGCGTTGGGCACGCCCGTAGCATGTGTTGTGCTGAGAAATAATGTGCCGTTCTTCTGGCGACAGGCCCGCCCCCCAGCCGCTGCGACAGCACCACGAAGGCGATGATAACGAGACCCAGTACTCCGTTGAAGCCACGCGTCAACTTGAAACCCTTGCACCATGCCAAGGGAATTGTCAAGAGACGGCTCAGGAACCTCCGCTTCATAGCGATCGGGTACACGATCACGCGGATTTTGCCAAGGAGTTGCACCGTCCCTCGGGGCAACACGTGCTTGGTGGCTGCGTGTGTGAACTGTATCGATGCGTAAGCTCCACCACATCCAGAAGGGCAGAGCGCGCCACCATCGCCATACATCTGGCGACGGACGAGGGAGGAAGAAGAGCAAACGCCCCCTAGGGGGAAGAGTATGAGGACCAGCGCAAACCCGAGACGCGTCTGAGACGTCAGCGCCGCGAGCCCTAGTGAATGTCATGACATGAGAATTCTAAACCGTACCGGGATACCGTTCCTGAGGCTTCGGCAATCGGAATACTTGAGCCTGTTGCAAGCTTTGAAGGCGGATGCGTTCGGGTCTTATGCGGAAGCCACATTTTGAAAATTGCTCACCCTATGTCGTTGAAGCTGGTGCAACCTTGTAAAGCGAATGTGCGCTGCACCACGGCGAGAGCCACAGTTTGAAAACGTCCAGCCCTCCATTCGTGAAACTGTTGCGAACGTTGAAAACGAATGTGCGCGGCGCCAAGGCGAGAATATGATACTGAGAGCCACCCGCCCCCCATCCGCGAAACTGTTCTCATTATCTAAGCGTCGGATTCATACATGGCGAAGAAGTCTCAGGCGACCCGCCCGACCCGCCCTATGGACACGCCTGGGGGCGCAACAGGAAGGAGTTGCTTAGAAGGCAAGCTGGTGGAGGAGAATAACGACGAGGACAAGGAGGACAACGAGGAACTGAGGACGAGGAGGACGAGGGTGGGGAGGGCGACGACGACGAGGACTTCAAGGCCCGCGCCAGCGCGGCCCCTGCGACGGGACGGCACGAGGCCTCAGTTGCGCGGAGGAGGAAGGGCAGGAGGGGAGGGAGGAGGAGACGAGAGTGCAAGAAGGCCAATCAACCTCCTCCTCACCTCGGCATCGACACCCGACTGGGAATGGGAGGCACGGGTGGACAGGAGAAGGAAGAGGAGGAGAAGGAGGAACGCGGCGCGGTGCGGTGCTCACAGCACCTGCGTAATTAGTGTATATTACCAAGAAGGCGGGTGACGCGGGACCGGAACCGACGGGCGTACCTATCACCCGGGTGTGGGCGGAACCTGATCGACTTCCGCTGTGATGGAAGGGCGCCGTGTGTGCGCGGCACCTGATCCACTCTCGCAAGGCTTCCCTCATCTTCCTCTTCCTCCTCCTCCTGCTCCTTCGTTTCCTCCTCGTCTTCCTCCTCTATTGAATTCAATGCCTCGCTGCAGCTTTCGTGCTTCGGTGCCGTCGGGAAGAATGAGGAGGAGGGGCAGTCGAGACATCGCCGGCCCTCCATGCCGTCTTGTCCTTCTTGGGCCTCGTGGAGGCTCCTCTTCGCCATGGCTGCATCCGGCTCTAAAAACGTGTCAGGATGGACCCTGGGAGGGGTTCGAGACTACATGTGGGGCTACGAAACGTGGTGTGTGCGTGTGTGTGTGTATGTGCGTATGTGCGTATGTGCGTGTGTGTGTGTGTGTGTGTGTGTGTGTGTGTGTGTGTGTGTGTGTGTGTGTGTGTGTGTGTGTGTGTGTGTGTGTGTGTGTGTGTGTGTGTGTGTGTGTGTGTGTGTGTGTGTGTGTGTGTGTGTGTGTGTGTGTGTGTGTGTGTGTGTGTGTGTGTGTGTGTGTGTGTGTGTGTGTGTGTGTGTGTGTGTGTGTGTGTGTGTGTGTGTGTGTGTGTGTGTGTGTGTGTGTGTGTGTGTGTGTGTGTGTGTGTGTGTGTGTGTGTGTGTGTGTGTGTGTGTGTGTGTGTGTGTGTGTGTGTGTGTGTGTGTGTGTGTGTGTGTGTGTGTGTGTGTGTGTGTGTGTGTGTGTGTGTGTGTGTGTGTGTGTGTGTGTGTGTGTGTGTGTGTGTGTGTGTGTGTGTGTGTGTGTGTGTGTGTGTGTGTGTGTGTGTGTGTGTGTGTGTGTGTGTGTGTGTGTGTGTGTGTGTGTGTGTGTGTGTGTGTGTGTGTGTGTGTGTGTGTGTGTGTGTGTGTGTGTGTGTGTGTGTGTGTGTGTGTGTGTGTGTGTGTGTGTGTGTGTGTGTGGTGTGTGTGTGTGTGTGTGTGTGTGTGTGTGTGTGTGTGTGTGTGTGTGTGTGTGTGTGTGTGTGTGTGTGTGTGTGTGTGTGTGTGTGTGTGTGTGTGTGTGTGTGTGTGTGTGTGTGTTGTGTGTGTGTGTGTGTGTGTGTGTGTTGTGTGTTGTGTGTGTGTGTGTGTGTGTGTGTGTGTGTGTGTGTGTGTGTGTGTGTGTGTGTGTGTGTGTGTGTGTGTGTGTGTGTGTGTGTGTGTGTGTGTGTGTGTGTGTGTGTGTGTGTGTGTGTGTGTGTGTGTGTCCGAGGCGGCGTTTGCCCTGGTGGCCGAGGCGCCCTCCCCAAGAAGCAAGGCCGCGCGTCGGGACAAACGGCGCGGCGACGTATAGGGTATAGGGATAAAGATGGGGGTCGGGAGGGCGATGGGAGTATACGACAGGATTAAAGGGGACAGGCATAGTGATAGAGGAAGAGGGACAAACATAGAGACATGGATAGACGACAGGAGACAAGGGGAGAGAGACAATGTCAGACATTGGGGATAGGGATGGAGACAAGCAAACATAAATGCGGACACCGACAGCGGTAGAGAATGGGAGACAACGGGAGGCAACGGGAGACAACGTCGCCCGCCCGATTCCTGTTCTGGCAATCCACCTACTCGTTCTTTACATGAAGTATGTTAGGCCCATACAAACCATCTGTTTAGGAAAAGAAATTCAGAACCTCTCTCCTCCCGTTGCTCCTCTCCCCCCTCCTCCTCTCCCTCCCGCCGGAAGCCCAAAGCCTCCAGAAGGCGCCGGAAGCAAGAAGAGAAGTTAGCCTGACGAAAGACCCAACCATCTGCAGTTGTGAGGACGCCTTAGGTGGAGCTTCCTTTGGAGCCACGGACCGTGGGAGGGGTGTACCGAATTGGAAGGTGCGCCATGCGGACACTTCCACTGGGGTCTTCGGTGGAGCTGCCTGTGGGGGCCGTGGGGCCACGAACAATACAAGGGTTGTGCCGAATAGAGAGCGGGCAAACCGTGCGGATCCTGCCACTGGGGCCTTCGGTGGAGCTCCCTGTGAGGCCACGAGCCGTGCGAGGGGCGTGCCGGAGTGAGAGTGGGCGCACCATGCGGACCCTGCCACTGGGGTCGTCGGTGGAGTCCCTGCCAGGCAACGGAGCGCGTGAGAGGCGTGCCAGATTGAGGACGGGTGCGCCGTGCAGGCCCTATCGCTGGGGCCTTGGGTGAGGCTATCCGTCGGGGCGTTGACCCAAGGAACCCTAAATAAGGAACGAGGCCCCTTTCTCCCACAAGTTGAACTTCGATTTCCCATGGAAAATCTCAGGAAAACCGGAGACAAACTGCAGAACAATCAAGGAACACCGAGCCCCTCCCCAACGAAAAGGGTTCCTTCTTCAGGGCCCCGACTGTATCCTGCGGGGCCACGCGCCGTGAGGGGTGTGCCGAAGTGAGGGCGGGTGCGCCATGCGGACCCTGCCGCTCGGGGCTGAGCCGGAGTTCCCTATGAGGCCAAGAGGCGCGTTAGGGGTGTGCCGCAATGGGCATGCGGGGGCTGAGGCATGTAGAAGGACGAAGATAGGGGGAGGGGGCAGCGGGAAGAGGTGGAGAGCGGCGCTGCGGACTCGAAACGAGGACCCAACTCGACACATGAGGGTTGGGAACAAAACGCACAGCAGAGAGAGAGAGAGAGAGAGACAGGAGAGAAAGAGAGATAAGAGAGAGAGAGAGAGAACAAGAGAGAGATAAAGGGAGGAATAATAGAGAGAGAGAGAGAGAGATGGAGAGAAAGTGAGAGAGAGAGAGAGAAAGGGGGAGAGAGAGAGAGAGAGGTGAAATGCATATCTTCATGCCCTTCCCTCCCATCCTCCCCCTCGTGCCTGCGGAAGCTTGGACGAGATGATGCCATCCACCATCAGGTAGTACAGGCTGTTGGGCAGCCTCTCGCCTGCGGCCCGAGGTCAGCTCTGCCACACCGTCGAGAACGCTACGCTAGAGAATGGCAGAGAGAAGATGGGAATGAAAAGGGCGTCGGCTCCATGGAATGTCTCAAATTGCGAGGTCTGGAGGCCGATGTCGGGCGCCAAGGCCATCAACAAACTGTCCAGGATGAAAGCCGCCCCCCGTGAAATTGTCTAAAGGTCCGGCTGCAGCGTGTTGAACGAAAAAGGGCGTCGGGGATCTAGGCACTCCTCCGTTTCCCCCTCCTCCTCATTCCTCGAGGCCCGAGGAATGAAGAAGTTTGATGTTTGGAGCTCTTTCTGGGCCTCCAGAAGCCTCTGAGGCCTCTGGGAGCCCCTGGGGCCCCAGAGGTTCAAGCCAGCGGGAAACCTACGCATTGCTCTTTCAATGTGTTGTCGATATAGGTAGCAGGACAAAAACTGAAGGTTAGCGAACCAACTGCCTACATCTAGCTTGCAGAAAGCCTCCATGGTTCTGGTGGAGGCCATGCGTCGAAGAAAGACCCTGGCGGCTGCGCCGAAACAAACGACATGCAGCACATTCCGCACAGCCACGCTAATACCACAAGGAATGCTGTACCAGAAGAAACGAAATCCCAGTTTGACCCAACAAACGCGTGGAATGTTCAATCCTTGCTGCCCAGGGGCCCCAAGCTGGCCTTCAGAAGACGAAGCCACGGACACCGACATTGGGAAAGTCAATCCGCCTGGATTTGGGTGTGGAAGTACAGTCAAGAACGCCACGCGAAGAACGAAGCCCCACCTTTGCTCCCCAGAAGGCGCCTGCAGTGCGCGCGGAGCGCCAGGGAAAAAACAACGGGAGAACCCAAGGAGCGGCGAGACCCCCCCGAACCCGAACTGCTCCTCAGACCTCAGCGCCTTGGCTGCAAGGGGCGAGACATTCCCGAAGATCCGATGTCATGACTTTGTGTCAATACGGGTTCCCCGGAAGTCTCGACCCATTCCCCACGCAGGACCAATTTTTAGGGGAACAAAAATTAACATATTCAAACAAAAAACGGAGGTCCGCGCGGATTTCTCAGATCGGCGCTGGGCCCCTGCTGGCCAGGCCACTGCTGGCCGGGCAGCTGCTGGGCATCGTCCCGATCGGCCGTTCGAGGAATCTTGGGGCACAGCGGGCCGCTCGGAGGGAGGAAACCCACTCACGTCCAAGACCTCCTCGAGCCCACGAAAAAACAACAGGGAAAGGGTGTGAGTTTTCGGCCTCCCGGCGGCCTCACCAGGCCCCAGGGCAGCATTGAAATCAAGCCACAGGCAACGGGTCGAGGCGGGGGGATCTTCGTTGTGAACAGATCACGACGCTGGACGTCTGGGATGCGGGCGTCGTGCCGAAGTGGCGAAAGGCGGTGCCTCATGGGTTCGTGCCACGGATCGACCTGGCGGTGGCAATGCAGCACGCATGTGACATCGGGGCTTGTGGCTGTGATCTGCCAGCTCCTCTGCCAGGGGGTGCGAGGCCGAAGCGGCTCTGCGTTACTGCAGGCTGCCCGCGGTGCACCCCAGTCGAAGTCTTTCTCCTCCCCCTCCCCCCGCGCGGCCACCCTCGCCTTCTGCCTCCCTCTTGCACGCCAGACAATTCGGCTTCAGGTTGCCCCGAACAGCCACACGCCGGAGCGCACTGCCTCTGCCCCGCCGCCGACGACGGGAACAAAGCCTCCCTCCCGCCCTGCCTGGGCCGCGACTTCCGCGGAGCCCAGGCCCCTTCCGAGCCCGAGCTGGCATTCCTTTTTCTGTTTCCGCCAGCTGGCCCGTTCTCCGGCGTCCTGACTGCAGCGGGTCCCTCCTCCCGCCTCCCCCCGCGAGGGGGAACGATCGGGGGGGACCCGCTCATGGTGGTGGGGAAACACCGAGCTTGAATCGGCGACGCATTGCTGATGGATCGGCGATCGGCGACAGACCCCGCATCGGGAGCTCGCACGCTCCTTGGCGGGGTGGGCTATCGGGCCCCCATCGGCGATGAATGGGCGATTGGGGCTCGATGCATCCCCCCGCGCCACTCCCCTGCTGTCGCCTGGGTTCTGCATGGCTTTCGGGCCAGAACTCGGGCCTCTGGCGGCCGTTCGGGACGATTCTGAAACCAGGGACGCTGTCGACGACGCGCAGCTGATGGAAACCACCCCGCATTCTGAAATCCATCGGAAACCCATGAAAACATCAGGCCCCGACGCTGCCCCTGAGTCCATCCGCTCCTAACGTTGCCCTTGGCCCTTGACCTACCTCGGAGACCCCCCCCCCGCAGGCTGCCCATAATGACGCTGAAGTCGCTGGGCACCTGCGGGTTCGCAGGGGCCAGCGGCGGTGTGGCTGCCATGCGGCCCCGCGCCACGTCAAGTAGTTTCGTGCGGCGTCGGCGCGCGCATAGGTTTTTAACAGCGCGTCGGTCGTTCAACCTTGAATCGATGACGGCCCCGATCGCTCAAGGTTGCGTCCCTACGTTCTCCCGCGTCACAGACTTCAACCTTGAACGCCTTCGCTGGCGTCGCTGGCGCGTCAACGCCGTACGTACGGAGAGAACCAGAAGATCCGTTGGGGCCCACTACGTCCAAACAGTCAGGATGGCCCACAGGCTATCCAGATTGTTGGATCCGAAACGCCTGGGAAGTTGACCCCATGGCTACCCCGAAGTCTGGAGTACTGCCCGAGGTCCCAACCTGGGGCACGCGCCACCCTCTACGTCGAGGAGGGGAAAATTGAGAGGGAGGTACGTGAAAGGCGCCCATGCACCGCACCATGTTTGGACTCCCTGCATGCTCCACTCCAACGGAGTACGGCGCATAGTTGTTCGGCTCGGAGGGCTGGAAAGCTATGCACCGTGCCATTCCTGGACCGAGTCCAGGATCGACGACGCCTCGGGAGACGCCAACTCGGTACGGTGCACATGAGTCGTCGGCGGAAGGGAAGGACGGGAACTCCTCCGCCTGTTCCTCCTCCTCGCTCCGCCTCTCCACCCCGTGGCACGAGGGGAAGAAGTCCGGAGGGTACGCCACGGGTCCTGGAACTCAACGGCTGCCTCTGGGCACCAGCTCCTCCTCACGAACCGACCACCCCGGGGCCTGACAGGGCCTCCCCGTGGAGGCCGACGTCGGCCAAACGACCCTCGGGACTCGGGATCCGTTTTACTGCGTGCCGGCCCTCTCGCGGGTCGGTAGAGACGGGGGATGGCAAGGGAGAGGTCGCGAATCAGCTCACGCATCGCCGGATTTCCCGGCGCCCTATGGCGCCAAAGGCACCGCAGAAGTCGAGGAAGGCGCCGGGCGGCGGGGACCAAACCAGCAGCGTGCAGCAGATCTCACACTCCCCGTTCGTCCGACCCGATTCGGGAAGATTGTTTACGCGGCTTTTCGACGTCACTCAAAGCCGAGTTGAAGGAATTTCCTCACTAACTTTTTTGTTTTTTTTTTTTCTCTCTCTCTCTCTCTCTTTCTCTGCAAGTCTATGATTATGAATACACGCATGTAAACAGATATACCGGCGACCCCTCTCCCACGACGAGCTCGAACTCTCGCTCGCTGGCGCCGCCGGGCAGAACCCCTGGGGGCACGCTGCGCGAGTCCGCCCGGCTGGAGGGTGAGGGGGCCGGGGTCCTCAGCTAGAGTGGGATGAGGGTCATCCACCTCCCCCACCTCCCCCACCTCCTCCTGCACCTCCTCCTGCTCCTCCTCCTCCTGCTCCTCCTCCTGCTCCTCCTCCACCTCCTCCTGCTCCTCCTCCTCCTCCTCCACCTCCTCCACCGCCTCCCCCTCCTCCCTCTCCTGCTCCACCTCCTCCACCTCCTGCTGGGAGTGGGATGGGATGAGGACCTCCTCCACCTCCTCCTGCTCCTCCTCCTCCGCTGTTTCCGCTGTTTGCCGCGCCATGAAGTGCTCCTCCTCCTCCTCCTCCTCCTCCTCCTCCTCCTCCTCCCGGCCAGACCTCCCACTGTACGCCTCGGAGCGTTCGAGCGTTCCTCGCCGTGCTCGGCCTCCTGGGGCCCTCGCCGTGCCCACGTGGAACGTCGGAGGAGGCTCGTGGCGCAGGGCCAGCCCCGGGCAGAGGGTCGGGACTCGCGGGGGCCCAGCGCCGGGAAAGTCAACGCGTCGGAGGCCAGGGACTCCCGGAGACTGGGCGCACCAACGGGCGCCCCGAAGCCAGATCACCTCAAGCTCAAGTCCTCCTCCTCCTCCTCTTCGTCCTCCTCCGCATCCTCCTCCTCCTCCTCATCCTCCCTCTACAATTACTCAATATGAAAATGCTCTCCCTCTTCCCCTGATGGCGTCCGGGTGATGGCCGCGCACCCTCCGCGCACTGTTTTTTACACACAAAATGCCCGGGAAATCCCGGGAAACGACTCTCGCTGAGGCGTCGGCGTCATTTGTTCCCAAAATGCTGCTCTCGTTGAGGCGCCGGCCTCATTTCTGCTCCCGAATCGTTCCGAATCATGCTCCCGCTGCAGCGTGGGCCTCATTTTCGGATCGGTGTTTGGCCTCCGTCGTTCAGGATGGCGTTCTCGCCCCAGCGCGGGCCTTTTTCTCGCGCGCCCATCCGCCCGCCACCACCGCGCCGCACCGCCACCACCACCACCACAACCACCACCAGCACCAGCACCAGTACCAACACCACCACCACCAGCACCACCACCACCACCACCACCACCACCACCATCACCACCACCACCACCACCACCACCACCACTACCACCACCACCACCACCACCACCACGACAACCACGCACACACGCACGCACGCACGCACGTGCACCACCACCCACTACGCACGCGCGCGCGGAGCCACAGGTCCGCTACGACACGCGTCCGCGGATAGAGAAAATCAGCGCCATGGTAAGGGATGGGAGGGAGGGGTAGGACGTCAGATATGACGCGAGCGCACCTAGCTTGCCCTCCCTCCCCTCCCTCCCTCCCTCCTGCTCTCCCCCTCCACCTCCGTCCATTCCTTTCCTCCTGAAGAATTGCTCCCTGTCGCACCCCGAGGCCGGTCGAACGGGCGGGCCAGGCATTTCGCCCGAGACTTCCAGGCTAATTATGACCCCGACGCTGAGAGGTTGACAACGAATTCGCAAATGAAAGGCGGATGGTTTTCAACATGTGGCTCTTGCCTTAGCGCCGCGCGCATCGGTTCCAATTGTACAAGAACTTCACGGATTGAGGGCGGGTCGTTTTCGAAATGCGGTTCCCGCCATCGCGCCGAGCACATTCGCGCAGCAAAATTGCAAGGGCTTCACGGATTGAGGGCGTTTCGTTTTCAAAGTGTGGCTCTTGTAGTAGAGCCGAGCACATTCGTTGAAACATGCAAGAGCTTCACGGATGGAGGGCGGCTCCTTTTCAAACTGTGGCTCTCTTCTGAGCGCCGCGCACACCTGTCTCTAAAACACTGCAAGGATTTCACGGATTGAAGGCGGCTCCCTTCAATATGTGGCTCTCGCCTAAACGCCGCGCGCCATTTGTATTAAAACATCTGTCGGATACAAACGGATTGAATGCGGCTCCTTTGCGCTATGTGACTCTCGCCTGAGCGCCGTGCACACTCGTCTTAAACAGTTGCAAGAGTGTTACGGATTCCACTGGTCAGCGCGAAAGATGTGGTGTCTTGGAAAGACTCAGGGCTGTGACGTCGCAACAATTACGTTGATTCGCGGTGTTGCAGTCCAGGAAATGGTGATGTGGCACGATTCCGGATCGTCACAACGCAACAGTCATGTTACATAGTGGCGTTGGAATCACGAGAATGGTGCATTGACACGCTTCAGGGATTTCAAACGAATATCTCCCCAAAAAACAGTTCCCTCAGTGGAAATGAACACTTGTAGGGGCCTATGGAGAGGGAGCTTGGAGGGAGGGTTTATTTCAAAATCGTTGATGCATATTGGGTTTACACTGCTCGTCCTCCGCCTCCTCCTTCCACTACTCCTCCCCGGCTGCTCTCCTCCTGCATCACTACACAATAGGAATACGACTCTCCTCTCCCCCGGAAGCAACGGTGAGGTGTCTTGGCCTCCTCCGCGTATTTCTGTTCCAGGATACCGCCGGGTCGCACACCCATGTGTGTGTTTTTACACTCCGGACGTGTTCAGCTTGTCAGAATGGCGCTCTCGCTACAGCGTTGGCTCCAGCTTCCCGTCCTCAGCCTTTCCGAATCATGTGCCCGCTGCAGCGCTGACCTCATTTCATTGTTTCTGTTTTTCCAGATCACGTTCCTGATATAGCGTCGGCTTCGGCTCCACGCCTCCATGCTTTCCAAATTCGTGCTCTCACTGCAGCGCTGGTCTGGTCTCCGCGGGTTCGGTCCTTCGTAATCGTGCTCCCGCTGCAACGCTGATCTAAAGTTGCGCTTCCCGCTTTCCAAACCGTCCATTTTGCCATCCTGTCATGTCTGGTTTCCCTCTGACCTAGCTGTCGACGTGGGTCGCGTTCTCGACGCGGCGACGTCGGCTGTGGCCGTGCTCTCCTATGCCATAGTATGCCGTGTCATACCATGAATCGCGAACTCTCTCGGGATTATTGCCCTGTTCGACATCCGACTGTGAGAATAGAGAGGAGGTGTACGCGATGGTAAGGAATGGGAGCGAGGGGTCGGACGTCAGGTACGAGGCTTGCGCACCTAGCTTGCCCTGCACCCCTCTCTTTCCCTCCCGCCTCCTCCAACCCTGTATCCCTCCCCCTCGCCGCGCGCGCGGGCAGGAGGAGGGGAGCGGGCAGGGGGTGCAGGAGAGAGGAATACATATAGATATATACATAGGAGAGAGAGAGAGAGAGAGAACAAAAAAAAAAAGAGAGAGAGAGAGAGAAAAAAAAGAGAGAGAGAGAGCGAGAACAACAAAAAAGAGTGAGGGCGGAGCGAGCCAGACCAACGAATGAGGAGGCGGGAGCGGGAGGCTCGCATCGAGATGGGGGCGACGACTCCCAGCCTGTGGATGTGGATCAACCCCCGCCTGGCAAAAAGGTTTTGGGCGTTTCTGTCGGTTCTCGCCGGTTCTCTCGCATCGAGGCTTCGCGAACAGCCCAGATGCCCACGAAGTCGCCCACTGCTTTCTTCATTGTTATCTTGATGCTGCGTTTTCGCGCAAATTGCTACATCGGAATCGTCATCATGCAGCCGGCTTTACACTGGGCGCGGCAGTCACGCCGGGTTCCCCTGGCCACCCCCCCAACTCGACCCCGCCCCCCCACCGCCCTGCCAAGGGGGCCACAAGCCACGCCGTCGCCGCGCAGAGCGCGACGGACCAACTGGCGCGACGAGCGGCAGGCGGCCACCCCTGCCCGCCTTATGCCCGTGCGCCGAAGCACGCTCGCGGGCACGCTTCCGTAGACCAAATAAGGGGGCCAATCCGATCTCAACGGGCGTGGGCTAGAAACCAAAGCCAAGCCCGCGGACACGCTTGCAACCTCTCGGCATTCACTTCGACCTCCATGTCCCCCACCGGACGTCCACGTTCGGGCGATTCGGGCGCCCGCTTAAGCCTGGGCGCCCGCATCACATCTGTACAAACCGGTACACGTTTGATGATGGGAAGTGCGAGGTGCGATGATTCCAACGCGCCGACGTGCTGTTTTCCGAGCCGCGCCGATACTCACGCTACATGTCACGTTTTCAAACATTTGAAATGATGGTAGCGTCGTTTTGTCGAAGTGAGGAAGGCGGAGGCATGATGTCTCCAGCCTCGGGATGCTCTCTAGCAGCTGCGCCTCGCCGAGAGCGTCCTTCTGGGGGTGCCGGGATCGCCCCGAATGGCGACACGAGACCCCCTTCATGGCCCGAAGTCGAGACGACAAGGAGCACTCTCGGGTCCGCGGCGCGCCGAGGGGGGGCAGCGAGGGGGGGGGGGCAGGCCCTCTCAGAAGGCGGCAGGGCTTCGGAGAAGGCTTGGGAAGTTCCCCAAAGGCCAGAGGCCGCCCGAGCCTGCTGAGATGGCCCGTCCCCTCCTGCCTGCCCCCCCCCCCCCCTGGCGCGCCGCCACGGCTTCTGGACGTTTGCAGCGGGGCGAGGACTTGTCCATGACCACCGCCTGGAAGTTCGATCCTCGGGCTCGTCAGCAGGCGGTGGATATGGATCTATTTGCCCCCCTCAGGGCCCAAGTCTGTCCACCTCCCACCGCCTGCCGAGGTCCCCGAAGATCGATCCCCCCGGCGGTGGCTGTGAACAGATCCCCGCCTAGAACTTCTGGCATGTCTGGAGCCTGCAGAGATCAGAGGGGCGGCGCGGCTTGTCTTCGCAGCGTGACGTGCTCCAGGCTCCAGAGGCCCAGAGGGATCGGCGAGGCGTCACTCCGCAGCGTAGACCTTCTTCAGGTCGAGGTTGATCAGCAACGTCTTATCAATGAGCCCACCCTTGTTGTCGATTACGAAGTCGAGTGCCCGCTGGCCAGAGAACGTGGACGGGCGAGGTTGCAGCTTCTTTTCCTGGTCGTAGCCAAGCTCCACTGGCACGATGAGCTGCCTCACCCCGCCCTCGCGCATGCCTCGGACAGCCTCGTCGATGGCTGGGATCACGGTCCCGTCGCCCACCTTGAACCTGAGGGGTTCAACCTGCACCTTCGACATATCCTGCAGCGTTTTCGTCTCATAGGGCCTCCCAAAGTAGTTGATCGTGTAGCCCTCCCACGACAACACCACCGAGCAGAGGAGAAGGATTAGAAAAAAAGATGACGGTCACGACGAGGGCGAAGGGGTAGTGGGCAGAGTTGATCACAGAGAAATCTTTATGCATCCCAGCCCCCCCCACACCACCAGTGGCGGGGGGGGCGAACGGCCCGACACTGTCCCGCGTGGTGCCTGCTTGCAGCCGCACTTGCGGCCCCAGTGGGCACGGACGCATGCCGCCCCCTGCCCTTTTCGGAACACCCCGCGCACGTCTCGGGCCCCAGCATGCGGCTCTCCGCCTATTTCGGCACAGCCCTCACGCGGATTGTGTCCCGCAGTAAGGAAATCAAGAGGTACCGATACCGCTAATCCCCAGACCTCTCCCGTTCTCGTTCTGACCAGGATTTCGAGGCGAATCCAGCCGTGGCGACGAGAGCCTCCCATGAAGCCCCAAAAGGGCAAAAGCGATGAAGGGTAGCGGTATCGGTCGGTTCTTTTTCCTCCTCTGTCATAGGGGGTTACACTGGCGGGCCTCCAACACTGGGGCCTTCGGTGGAGCCCCCTACGGGGCCACGAGGGGTGGGCCGGGGCGGCGCTCCCATGTGGGCCCTGCCACTGGGGCCTCCGGTGGAGTCTCTTATGGGGCCACGAACCGTGTGAAGGGTGAGCCAGAATGGGGCAGCGCCGCTATGTGGACCCTGCCACTGTTTGGACGCCCGAAATGGGTACGGAAAAAATGAATACAATGCCCAACAACAAATGTTGTCCCAAACCAACAGCGGCCACTGTTGGGCAGGCGGCCTTCTGTCTCAAAGAGACACAGGCCGCGGCGGCACGGACAGCGAGTCCTTTTCAAAATGAGCAGGAACTGCTGTTGGGCATTGTACCCATTCTTTCCGTATTCATGTCAGTCGTCCCGACACTGGGGACTTCGGTGGAGCCCCCTATGGGGCCACGCACCGTGTGACGGGTGCGCAAAAATGGGGCGGCGCCGCCATGCGGATCCTGCTACTGGGCCCTTCGGTGGAGCTCACTATGGGGCTACAAACCGTGTGAGGACGCGCCACATGGGGCGGCGCCGCCATGTGGACCCTGCCGCTGGGGCCTTCGGTGCAGCTCCCTACGGGGCCACGAAGTGTTGCACTGTTTGCGCCGCAACAGAGACATGCCCAGGGCAGAGGCAGGGATGGGAGGAGGGAGGAGGCGGGAGGAAGGAGGCTGGAGGAACGAGGACCCAACACCACAGGATGGTCGAGAAAGAGAGGAGGTAAACGAACCTCAACAGGCCAGTGCAACACAAGTGTCCCCAACTGCTTCACGTAACCGGGCTCGGGGCTCATACAGAGAAGCCAATATAAACAGTTCGCACGTGTTTTTTCCAATCGGGACCGATGCTGAAACGCTACCGTTACTGGGCCCCGTACAGAAGGCAACAGAGTTGAACACAAACTGATGCTTGTGACGCTGGCGTAAAGACTTCCGAACACGGTTAAGTCCGAAACGGTGGGAACCACTGCCTCCGGCTCAAGACTTTCAAATCGCCAGTCCCCAGACTCGGGGGCCCCCAAACGGTGTGGTGACCGCGCCACGTGGCGAGTCGGTGGGGGTGCGGGGTCACCGCACGGTTTTGGGACTAGGGTGGTTCTCCGAGAGCCTCGCGGGCAACTGCTGGGACCTCCGAGGTCCCAGCGCCGTGTGGTGACGGACCCTGCGGTGAGGTCTCTGCGGATTTCGAGGTCGCCGCCCGGTCTGTCACCACACGGTTGTGGGACCCCGGTCCCCGGATCCCTTGACACCCTCCTCGGGAACTGGCATATCATCACGGGTCTTCTCGTCGAGTGCGCAGGAGCCTGGCAGCGGCCAGCAAAGGCCGACAACAACGGACAGCCTCTGGCGGTGTCGTGCCGATTCGCCAGGAGGTTTGGGCCTGCTTGTGGTCAGGATGTGTAGCCGTTCACTAGATAAAAGGGGCTGTCTCCGTCTCTTTTCGTTGTTTTGTTTTTTTTTCTCCCTCCCTCTCTCAACCGTTCGTGCCCAAATTCTTGGGCCCAACGGTCCTGGGCCTTTCCAGGGTGAGCGGGCGGGGCCACAGCACGGGTGCTCCCCCGGGTCGCCCCGCCGCCGGTCCATTCCGGCGGCAGGCTGACGCTGCAGCTGGAGGAGCACGAGCAGGATGCTGGATGGGGCGGGCGGGGAGGAGGAGGAGGAGGAGGAGGAGGAGGAGGAGGGAGGAGGAGGAGGAGAAGGAGGAGAAGGAGGAGAAGGAGGAGGAGGAGGAGCAGGAGGAGCGAGCAGGAGGGAGGGAGGTGGGGCGAAGAAGAGCGAAGAGGGCGGATGACGAGGAGGACGAGGGAAGTCCTCCCGAAAACCCTCCGACGCCCGATGCCAGCGCCACCGTGTCGCCGGGCCCCGGCAACGCCGTCCCTGGCCTGCCAGGCGTGACGTCCTTGACCTGGGCCGCTCCTGGCTCCTCCTCATTTTCCTCTCCCTTTTTCTCCTCCCCCTCCTCCTCCCTCCTCCTCCTCCTCCTCCTCCCCCCTCCTCCTCCTCCTCCTCCTCCTCCTCCTCCTCCTCCTCCTCCTCCTGCAACTCCTCCTCCTCCTCCTCCTCCTCCTCCTGCAACTCCTCCTCCTCCTCTGATCCTCTGATTCTGCAAAGAGAAAGTCCCGCAAACGCCGGACTAACCTAACCTACTGCCGACCAAGCAGGACCAACCACGAAACAGGAGGCTGATGCCGCCTGGGTTTCGGGGCCCGGCGAATTTTCCCCCTCCTCAGGCCCGACGCTGGGCGCCGCGCCGAACAAGTCCCGAAAGAGGGGGAAGGGGAGCCCCCCAAACACTTTGGACTGGGGCTCTCTTCCAGGCAACAGGCGCCCCGGGGGCCGATCGAGCCAGACGAGCCGACGATCGGGGCCGAGACAAGGACGGGCGGCAGGGGCGACCAAGGCCGTGCACCTGCCGACGCGCGTAGGCCGCGCAGATCTTACATAACACGATCGCCCTACGCCTCCCACGAGCCCCTCCAAGCACCCCCCGCCCCCGATCCCCACGAACCGCCCGCAGTTCATGGGAGGAGTGGGCGATCGCAGCAGGCCTGGGCAGTCCTGGGCAGGGCGAGCACACTAGCCTGGATCGGAGCCCCGTTCTAGCCCCACAGATGCTACCTCCCAGCCGCAAAACCGAATGCCCATTCTCGCCAGACGCGAGAACGACCGAGCTTCAAGTGAGGGCCGAGTGGGGAGAGCTCTTTCAGCATCGCTCCATGGTGAGCGGAAGTTCGCTCCGCGGCACGGGTGGCCGCTCTCACGTGGGCCGTGCTCGCCGTTTCGCCCCGTCGCCGCTTCGAAAGAATGCACGGCATAGATTGCACCGACGACGGGCGGCGACGAAGCGGCGACGGGGCGGCGACGGCGAGCACGGAGCTGCCAGACCGCCACCCAGGCCCAGACGGCAGGCGGCGACGAAGCGGCGACGTGGCGACGACGGCGAGCACGGAGCCGCCAGACCGCCACCCAGGCCCAGTTCCTGTGAAAAGACGTAAGACCCCAAAGTGCAAACACTGTTCAGGGGAACATCGGTTGCACCACATAAAGTTGACAACATAGATTGTACCACTAAGATTGCACCACATGTATTGCTCCGCCCAGGTTGCACAACACAGACTGCTCAACACATACTGCGCAACACAGCTTGTACCACATCTATTGCACAACGAAAGTTGCACCACATAGCTTGCAACACATAGACTGCACAGCCTAGATTGTAAAACGTAGATTGCACCACATCGATGGCTCCGCATCTATTGCTAGAGACACCCTGCTTGGGATTCGCGCTGGCTGACATAGTGTACGATACCCTGGCGTGCGCGTCGCCCTTGCGCGGCGGACGCACCCGTAGTGATAGTACAGTAGGGGCTCGACCACAAGAAACCTTTCACAAGAAACGCAACCCTGAGACCCCAGAGTGTCCACTGATTCGTGGTGTGGGGACGTCACGCGCTCCATAGCAAAACCATCGGAACCCAAGACACCCAGGGCACCCTGGAGGCAAGCAAAGTGTTTCTTGGCATGGGTCTCCACTGTATGTTTGGGTGGTGCCGATCGGCACGTTGGTCATTCGGGTGCTCGCCTGGAGGCCGCTGGGCAGCAGCGCGAAGTCTGGGAACCGCTTGCGCCGCTTGCCGCCGCGGCCCTGCAAGTCGCCACCCTGCGATTCGGGAGGCCCCACACGTCGCGGTCACCAGCCCAAGCCTCTCCCCCCTTCCTCTTCCCCTTCTCTCCATCCCTTCACTATCCCGTACTCCCGCCCCCCCTACTGTCAACTTCTTTACGGCCGCAAACAAATCTTTGGCGACCAGCTCCACCCCAAAATGCCCTGGCTGCGAAATGCTGAAATTGGTGATCTGCATTTTGGCGACGGTGCCTTTGGTGAAACTAGGTGCCCTCGTTGCGCTGTCACGATGTGGCAAAGGGCTGGCGTGATTATCGCCCGCCAGCGAACCCATACTTCTCGCATTTATTGATCGCAATTATTGGTTTGGCAGAGGCGTCGCCAAGAACTGCCCCACGGAGCAAACTAAGCGAAACATGAAAAGGAGGAATGATTACCCTACCCCCTCTATCCCCCCCTCCTCCTCCCACCTCCCCTTATCATCCTCCCCTTCCTCCATCCCTCTTCCTGGTAAGTAACTCCTCCCTGTCGCACCCCGAGGCCAGTCGAAAGGGCGGGCCGGGCGTTTCGCCTAAGACTTCCTCACCACGTATCATCCTGAAGCTGAGGATTCGCCACAATATCACTGATGGAGAGCGGCTCGCTTTCAACATGCGGCTCTCGCTGTAGCGCCGCGCGCATTCGTCTCAAACCTGAAGCAAATCCACGAATGGAGGGCGGGTCATTTCCAAAGTGTGGCTCTCGCCTGGGCGCCGCACACAGTCGTTGCAATCGTCTGCCAGAAATTCACAGATGGAAGGCGGGTCACTCTCAAATTGTGGCTCGCCCCAACGCAAAGCGCGCTCGTCTTGCCAATTGGCAAGACCTTTACGGGTGGAGGGCGGCTCGTTTCCAAAATGTGGCTCTCGCCTGGGTGCCGGGGACATCGTCTTAAGAAGTGGCATCCGCCTCAAAGGCGAGCATGGTTAACGAACGTCCCAGAGGTGGCGGCTACTTTCCAAAATGTGGCTCTCGCCTGGGTGCCGGGGACCTCGTCTTAAGAAGTGGCATCCGTCTCAAAGGCGATCATGGT